ACAGGGTGCATTTTTTAAAAATTAAAAAAAAATTAATTTCGGTTTTTTGCGACGACTTTTTTAGAATTGTCGTTGCTAAAAAATAAGATTATTTGCGACGACAATTTGAAATGTCGTCGCAAAAAATGATCATATGACGAGAATTTTACAACGACGTATTAGCGACGCCTGTTGTCGCAAATACATTTACGACGACACTATGTCGTCACAAAAAACTTTTTTACGACCAAATTTTTGCGCCGGCAAATTTGCGATGACTTGTCGTCGCAAAAAACTTTATTTGCGACGACATTCGGGTTTTTGCGACGACTTTTTGTCGTCGCAAAAACCCCTTTTTCTTGTAGTGAGCTATGTATTCTCCTCTTTATAATGTGACACAATCACATGTAAATAAGTGGCCAGGCCATTTTGTGTAGTGCCAATGCCTGTGCCTCCCACTTATGAGGCACTAATTAATCCATTTTCTTTTCGTTTCTTTTTATGTGCATAATTCTGCAGTACCCATTTCGGTTTTTTTTTTTTTTTTTTTTTTTTTTGTCATAAAGCCATAATTATGCCCTACTACTTAATCCTAAAAATTCATACGAAGATAAATCATTAAAGAATATAATGAATTTAAGACGTACATAATTACATTTTCACATAACTTAATTCATATTACACTTGCTACGAAAATATAAAATAAGAGGAGAGAAAAACTTATATTGTACCCCCATTCAAATTTTTTATATATGTAATACATAAACGATTGATCAAATGACGTAGACACGTTTAATATAATGATGCAATTATTATACATCCAACTCATGTGGACGGCCAATTAATATCTTATTAACCTTTTCTTTCCATTGTAAATGATTCATGTTTTCAACATATTCAAAAATATGTTCTAGTTATATTTATAAATATCGATCAGTGAGTGGCTCATAAAGGATGCTTGTAGATTATTTTGAGATTCTTCCAACATCTTTTATATTCACCTTTGCGAATTAAATTCGAAGTGTTATAGGCGGCTACTCTAGGGTTACTTTTGGATCCACCAAAGTCTTAATATATTGCAAAGTGAAAACCCATGTGGGAAAATAACATTGCATAAGTAAATCATAATTAGGCGCCGTCGGAATTGGCTAATTCTTTAATTATTACCTTTAACAGTAAAACTACAGTGAAAAAACCAAATCAAGGCATCGTTCACTTTACGGATTCGAGTTTTCAATTCAAGCTGAAAAGTGATATTTTTTAATAGCTTTTCACTGTAGCAGAAAAAGTTAGATGTGACATTTTCTGAGAGCTTTTTACTGTAAAAATTTAAAACTGAAAACTCGAATCGATGAAATGAACAAGGCATAAGAATATACACAAGAAAATTTATGGTAGCCCACCCTCAATATGAGAATAATTACGTACACTTATTGTAATATTATAAAAAGGAAGAAGATTATAAAAGAGATTGTGTTTCTCTGTA